AGATTATTTGAAATATTTTTATGATTACTTCAGGCTTGCTCCCAAACCGTGTTATCATTTAAAGAGCAAATACTTTTGATTATAACAGATGCTTTTGTGTGATTTTTTTTAAACAACGAGGTTTGTCTCTTTAGTTCAACTGCTTTTTCAGATTGTTTTTCTGATTTATGATGTAGAATTGTTGGCTCCCCATCTTTTTGTTCACTCTGAAGTAAGATGCATAGGGTTCAAGGGGACTGACTCTCAGGTAAGCGCCAGACAGTTCAGTCTTAGCTGTGTTGTCCAGTGCATGTTTGTTTGGAATGAAGCCCCACCGTTCATTGAAGCAGACTTCTAAATGCATCTGGATATGGTCAGAGCTTTTCTTTCCTAAAAGGTAAAGTGGCCTAGGCTTTGATATTGTGTTGCTGCTGCTGCATGCCTGCAGAAGGGGACAATTTTCTCCGGGTATGATTCTGTTTTGAGTAAATGTAATAGAGTGTTTCTTTGGGCAATTTTTGAAACTGCAGCTCCAGAGTCAAAGTGCAGGCTTAAAATAGGCTTTTGGATGCTCTTTGAAAAGTTAGAAAATTTGTTTACATCTAACTTATAAAGATCTGCAGGTGCATCAAGAAACCCTGTTTTCTTTCCTGAGCCTGTGCGAAAAGTGTTATTACTTTTAATTCAACGTATTTGACTCATCTCTCATTTCTGAGCATTCGTGGAGTAAAACATGTTGTATGTTGTGATTTTCACATACACCCCTTTGAAGATCCAGATAACCATTAAAAAACCAATCCAGACTGTGCGATATGCAGACCCTGGTGTGCATGTATGGTGATTATGGAGCATTAGGAACAGTAGCACGTAGATATGGATGGCCAGACCCAAAAGCTCCAGGGCAAAGAATAACAGGATCCATGGACTACAATGCTAGACTCTGAATCAATTAATAGCTCATATCATTCTCTGTGTCAGAAGATTTTCTGCTCCCCCCGCACACATTTCCATTGTGTTTGCAAAGTCTTGCCACAACTGATCAGCACCAGCATCATTCACATAGCACCTTGTCTGAGTATTGGAGTACTCGAGAATGGTTATGCTTCTGGTGGTGCATCCAGTTAGCTCTCGTTCCTGCTGTCCCCCATGTCCCCCCAGATCTGCTCCCCGAACTGTTAGAGCAGATGTTGTATCTGTGTGGGGCAGGGCAAACAGAGGCAATGGGGAAAAGGAAAGGGAACAATTGCACTGCAGAAAGAGAAGTCCACCCTCACGGCATAGGCTCTCATCCTTGGAGTTTGGAGCCTTTTTATATATTAGTGTGTGTGTCTCTCTCTGACTTAATACACCTGTAAGTGTATGTGAGTAGAGTTTGTGTAACTGTTAGATGCAACAGATAAAGTGTTACGGGAGATGCTTATACATTGTGTTTGTGTAACTCAAGTGCAATGTAATATTGGACTGTATTTGCACAAGTGAGTACCTGTTGGTAACCATGTGCATTCAGAGATCATCTGTTTTTATAGATACACATGTGTGTCATATGTTGTCGGAATCCACCCAGAGACCTTGGTCAGGTTGTCACATAAAAATAGTATTAATCACAATAAATACCATATTTTTTTCAGAAGTATTGAAGGATGAGTCAACAGAACATGTTGATTCCATCAGCCAGGGCTGATTCTTCTTTTATACTGGTCCATCCCAGGATGGGGTAGTTCTGAGAGTATTCCCATCTCAAAATTACAGTGCACCAAGCTGTCATTATCATACAAATTTCTGAGATGCTTATTTGTATTTAGGTCTGCATAATCACTAAAAAAAAGTGAAGTCTGATATGCCCAGTGTATTGGTTATCTGTCATGACAGTGGCGTACTGAAGGAATGTATATTTTTTTCTTAGCCATTGCAAAGTCCTGAGTTGTGATCCCCCACCCGCTATTCCCTGAGTGTCTATTCCTGGATAGACTTCTTGAGGTTCCATTAGTCTCCTTTGATAACCTTCTCATGCGTTCAGGGCATATACTCAAGATCTCATAATATGATTGCTTCACATGGTTTGACCTGCTTTCTTAAACAGATAGAGCGGTTAAAGAAGATGTGTGTGTATGCGCAAGTAAATCTCCTTAATCTTTCCATACATTCTTACCCATGAAAATGAGATTCTGATCTATATTGATGGTTTTCATTATGGAGCTCTTGGTAGTGGGGTGGTTGCTGTATCCTGATTAATGCATGAAATGAATTTCAATCCTATGTATGTAATGTCGCAACAGTCGAAGACCCTGGGAAGGGCTTTTGTACCATTGGGAGCTCCATAAAAGAGAAAGAAACCAAGATCCAGCATTTCACATGCTAGTGCGCCACCGGAGAAGCTGTACTGGTGAATTGTGCTTCACTAAGCAACTATTAAAGCTACAGAAGACATTTTGATATCTGAGCAGCATCCCCCCAAGTTAAGAGGCATAACACGCAAGGCAAGCCAACTTATCTTGGCACCTAAGGCAGAAAATGCAGCAAGCAACTCTCCACCTGCCTGACAATAACTAATGATTTAATGCCCTTTTATGTTACCCCAAACCAGCTACCTCGTTCTGGATAATGGGAGGGACAACCTAGCTGGGGCAACATTTATTTATTTATTTAGTAAACTTCTATGCTGCCCCATTTGCCGAAGCCTCAGGGCGGCTTACAACAATAAATAAATACATATAATCATATAAAAACAATATAATTGGAAACACCCTGGCCAAAGATATAAAATCAATAAATAAGCTAACAATTAAAATGCCGTTTAAATAAAAAGGTCTTGGCCTGGAGCCGAAAAACATTTAACAACGGTGCCAGGAGGACCTCTCTGGGGAGCGCATTCCATAGATTGGTTGCCCCCGCAGAGAAAGCCCTCCTCCGGGTACTTACCCTCCTAATATCCTTCACGGAGGGTTCCTGGAGAAGGGCCTCTCCCGCTGATCTCAAGGAGCAGGAGGGCACGTATGGACGTAAGTGCCCCTTTAGGTAACTAGGACCCAAGCCGTGGTACAAAAACAGACAGCTGTTCCAGAAAACAGAAGGCCACACAGAGTGTGAGAATGATTTCCCTAGAATCAGCTAATAGAAATTTAATTGCAGTGCTGCATTACTGTCACTGTAGAGCATCACTGAGACAGACTCTTATGCCCAAACTCTTTAAAAAAATGCCTCATGGACGAGGCTTTCAGCGGCTGCTAGTCAAGATGACTGCATGGTGCCGCCGGTGTCAAAGGTGGCTTCTCTCTGTATCACATGCAGCAGGGAACGTGAGCAGGAAGGCGCTTTGCACTCATGTCCTACAGTGTCCAAGCATCTAGTTGGCCACTGTAGCCTTGTCTGGAATGGCTATTATTCTAGCCTTATGGCTGCCTTGAATAAATGGCTATTTTATTTAACGTGTCTGCCTTCCGAAATGTTACTGAGGGGGCTTGCCTGCTACGGTTGATAAGTCATTTCTCTGCCAGGACACGCCATGAGTCCGAGTGCAGCCCTTTGGTGAACAGGAACAGCAGAGTCAGCTTTGAAGTGAAGTTCCTCTTGAAGATGCTTTCACTTGCATATTATACCAATATTTCTGACCCTCTCTCTTGTTGCTCATTTGCAGAGTAAAATTGTATGAGGTATAGAACAATGGCAGAATATTAGGATATCTTTCTCTTCATAGTAGCCACAAGGGAAGATGCAGTGGCATTAAGGGAAAAATGGTAAATGGGTACCATTTGATGAGGAACTAGAGCATTCGATAGTGCTTAACAGCATATTGTGGTGCATTTATATCAGCTGTCTTTTTAACAAGTCCACTATTTTTATTGAAATTAATTTAACTTATTACAGTGTTTTACATTTTGTATATTGAATTTTGGTGGCATTTTAGTATTTGTGTTTGTTTTGATAATGTTTATAAACAGTTGAGCGCTACCCAGAGAAAATTGGGGGTGACTGGAAGTGGTTGGTGGTTATTAACCATTTTCCCAGTTGAAATCGGCTTTCTCTCAAAGCCTCCTTTTAACCCGGAGCACATCACATGCGTTGTGCCTATCTTTCCTCTCCCCCTCTTCTAGCACTTCTCCCACTGAAAATGTGTGTGGTCCTAGAAGGACAAACGGAAGGGCTCCCCCTTTTAGAAGAGCTTTCCAAGGCATTTGTTAAGCCACAAGCAGGCTTTTGCATTCTTCAAAACTCTTCTGCAAGGCTGGATGTTAAACAAAGCAGAAGAGGAGGAAGGGGAAAATAGGCCATGGTTTGTGAGCCCAAAATTTGAGTTGGTAGCAGTTATAAAGTAGAGGAGGAGTTGAGGAGATTTAATTCAATTAGACTTTGATGATTGCTAAGCAGATTGCACCTTGCACCAAGGACTACAAGGATGAAGAAGCTGTAATAACTGTTGCCGCATTTTTAATTTTAATAATTAGCAGAGCATAGAGGTATTTTGTGAATCAGACAGAGAATTAAAGTCAATGAATGGGAATGTATGCACTGAACTTTTCAGCTGAAATCAGTTTGAGTCTGCAGTCCTGTACCCTTTTACCTGGGCAATGCTGCATAGATGCTAAAGGCTTGAAGTATAATATTGAAATATGTATTGGAATGTTATTATAATATTTCAGCATTTATAATTTACTTCAATGTTCTAGAGAGTAAAGAGATATTTTTAAGATCTGTCATGAATTTCACAAGTTCATTGACTTTTGGATTTACATTTATGTGGTCTAGTTCCTGGGTGTTTAGTAAAAGACATAAAATGCTTCTCTGAGCAATAACACTTTACTGTTTTGATGAAATAAAATGCATGCTTTGTTTGCTAGTCATAATTTCCTAAAAAACAGATTTAATACACGTTACAAATATTTAAAAGGCTAATTAATTGCCAGTTTTCCTTCACTTTAGATGAAAATTAAAAGAATTACATATTAGTCGGTTGTTAAGTACTTACTCAGAAACAGTAATAGCAGAATAGCTGTTGCTGAAATCTCTGTCTCTATTCATTTCAGTTGAGAGATGTATGAGTGTAATGCAGTCTGGGACTCAGATGGTTAAACTGAAGAATGGAGCCAAAGGTTTAGTCCGTCTTTTTTACCTTGACGAGCACAGAACTTGCATCAGATGGAGGCCATCCAGGAAGAGCGAAAAGGCAAAAAGTAAGTTCCTTCTAACACTTATTAATATTGTGCATCTTTTTGATGCACAATATTAATTCCTTGTTTTTGGAGTTGTACAGGGGCCGTTGTTCATGTGACCTTCCCAGTCCCTTAAACAGGGTTCTCAACTCTCCCATGCAAATTCCGTGTCAGCACTAACTATGGGTGCTGATGTTCTCCTTAACTATGGTTAACGTTGGTTGGTAGAGAGTGTAAGTATGGAGGAAGTACATGATCTGATGGCCCTTTCTGTATTCTGTAACCCTGGTATCAGCAACCTGTGGTTCTCCAGAAGTTCTGGATTAGAACTCCCATCATCTGTAGCCCATAGGGAAGCATCATAGCAGTTGTAGGCCAAACCTTCTGGAGGGCTATCAGTTTCCCTCAAAGGGATGGGGAACAGAATGTGTGCACTGGCTCATAATATAAAAGTAGTTAAATATCTTGACCCATGGAAATTATTTCTGTCCAAGAAGACAGAGGGGGAACTTCTTTTGTGTTTTCTGTTCATTTATTGGCTTATTGCTGTTTCATTTGGAGTAATTACACACAAAACAAATGCTACAGCTTCTTTCTTCTCCTGAGGAATATTTTAATCTAAAATGGAATATTCTAGTAAACAATATGCCAAGGCAACACATTCAAGTCCCTTTGTTCTTCTGGCTTCCTCCACTGCTCTTACAGTCATCATCGATTCCATCTACAAAGTCACCGAGGGCCGGCAATCAGAAATATTCCATCGCCATGCTGAGGGCAACTTTGATCCAAGCTGTTGCTTTACCATTTATCATGGCAACCACATGGAGTCTCTGGATCTGATAACTTCTAACCCAGAGGAAGCTCGCACCTGGATCACAGGACTGAAGTACTTGATGGCTGGGATAAGTGATGAGGACTCACTTGCTAAAAGACAGCGAACACATGATCAATATCCTTTCAAGAGGTTATGTTCTGGCTTGCAATTTGTTGAGTCTGGCTGGTCTAGCAGATCTAGATGAAGCTGAAAAATGGAAATATCAAAACATTAGATGGTGTGAGGAGTTTTATTGTCTCCAGTGTCATTTGTGTCTCTTGTAAGCTGAAGACTAGATAAGTCAAAACACATTGCAAAGTGGGAGCTAGTCTTTGGGAGTGTGGAAGCCCCACTGTGTCGAGTTGTCCAGCTTTGGGGATAGCAGGACCATTACTCAGTTTGGTTGGACCCCAGTTTGCCAGGCTAAAATGAGAGACCAGGGGATACTCTCTTGCACCTTACAATTCCCACTTCCAAACTTCAGCTTGTGACTGTCAGAAAACCACTTGGCAACCTTTTGCAGCAAATTATAAGCTCCATAAACTCCTTCTGCACTTTCTATATTTATCTCTGACTTTTGGAGGCTGCACTTTGCTGCTGTGCATTTGGTTGTGCTGAGACATTACTTCAAGCCTGGTTTGCATTATCAGTTCTGGCAGATGGGAGACTGCAGGGTGAAATGGCCCCTGTCACAGCTCCAGCTGTACTGAGAAAATAAGAGAAGCCAACAGGGGATATGAATTCCTAAGGAAGGATGTAGCTGCTGGAAAAGGGGGTGGACATTGCTAGGCAGATGAAGGTGGGCTGGGGGCAGGGAACCAGCAGGAGAGAGGCTTGCTAAAATTAAATGGCTGACCAAGAGTAAAACAAGAGAGCACCATGGGGCTTCTTCCTCTCCCATAATACTAGAACTTGGGCTCATATCGTGGAACTGATTGGTGGGAGATTCAAGATAGATACACTTCTGCACAAACTATGGAATTCACTTTCATGAGATGCAGTGATGACCAATGTGGATGGATTCAAAAGGGGTTAGGCACATTCCTGGAGGTTTGGGCTACCCGTGGCTACTAGTCCCTATGGCTAGTTGCTTCCTTTGGTATCAGAGGGAGCATGGGTGCTGTTGCACTCAGGTTCTGCTTTCTGTGACCTATGGGGAGCTGGTTGGCCACTGTGTGAACAGAATGCTGGACTAGATGGACCCTTGGTCTAATCCAGCAGAACTCTTCTTATGTTCAGCAAGGAGTAACTGTGGGCCAAGATGATATAATGATGTTCACACAGTTTGATTTTGGTCCACTGTCATGGAAAAACCAAATAGTTTGCAGGGCTGTGTGTGTGCACATAGAAGGATTGAGACTGTGTCACTGGGTATGATGCAGTGAGGTTATTTTCACGACCTGAGTGTGTGTGTGTGTGTGTGTGTGTGGGGGGGGTGGTTACATGGCATATCATTGTCTGTTATATCTCCCAGGATTTAGTTTGAATGAGAAGGTGTCTCCAGATAATGAACTCCTAATCTGTAGTGATACTGTCTTTGCAAAAGTGGCTTGCCACAAAGATGGAGTCAGCAAACAAATGTATTCTAAGTGACTACTGCTATTTGTTTCAGAGTTCATTTGTATTGGTCCATAATGACAAGCAAATGACTGTTTAGCAGGATGTGGTTAAATTGCCCTAGAACTCCCTGTTTGCATAGACAAAGGTAGTTAGGAACATCCATGTTTGCTGTGTGTAGTTCTTAAACTGGGAGCTGGTGAGAAGACACTCACATTGCCATACAGCTAGTGAAAATATCTTTTTAAAAAAAAATTGGCCAAAACATTCATCCTTGCTTTGACCTCCTTAGCTATGCACAATATTAATGTTATTTAGTATCTTTTTGTGCATCTCTTCAGGGATGAAGGGAAGCATAGCTCTAAAAAGGTCTCAAAATGCTTGAAATAATTAATTAAAATAATTATCCTGATTTTAGTTTGCAATAATTGAAGGCCAATATTTAACAAGGCTTAGTGCAAATAGCTTTGTAGACCTGCATTCAAAAAGACAGAATTAAAATCAATACTTGTGTTTCCTGTCCTGCATCAGTGTAACACAAATTTCATTAAGACAATACACTTTTAACATTGTGAGAACAAAAAGAAAGAAAACATGGAGTTCTCTGAGAAAGTGTTGAGAGCTGAAAATTTATTCCAGGTTTGAAATAATTCAGAATTTTGTTTGTGTTGTTAATCTATGGCAGGAGAGTGGAGTCCATTTTCTTCCTTTACTCCAAACCAGCTACACAGAGTATTGGACAGCTGTGGTGCTCTTGACAGTGAAACACATGATACAGGCTCAAGTGTAAAGCTAAATGATACTGAATGATACTAAATCCTCCTTTGATATGGTTTCTGCTTCTGTTAACAATTAACCTCTGCTGAGCAGAACAGACTTGTTTTTCATGTTATGCATTGTAAACCTTGGTCTTGCATATTCCCCTCATTTCCCCTCCTCTGGTGTGGTCATGAAAAGGAGATTGAAAGAATCTACTTTTGCTTTTGATTAATTAAACTTGCTGAACTGTCATTAATATTAGCTTTTCTTTGTTCAAAGCTGGGTTAAAGCTTTAATAAGCCATAATTGAGATTAACCACAGTTTATAGTTTAGCAGTAATTTAGCATTCCATCTAATCATAAACAGAATAAAAGAGATCCCATCCTCTCAGGACCAGGCCAGAAGAGGAGGGAGGAGTATGTACATGAATTTGTGGTTCATTGTTGCCACAGTTAACCATGGTATATCATGATGTTAATTGTGGCCTGTTACATTCAAACAGTGAATACTGTTAACTACTTTACTGAAACTAATCTAATTATGTTAATCATCTTGGCTTGTTTCAGTAAGCCATAAAAACATAAGAAGAACCATCTAGTCTAGTGCTCCGTTCACATGGTTGCCAGCCTGCTCCCCACACAATCCCGTATACAGGATACAAATGCAACAACATTTCCTGTTCAAGTTCTCCAGCCGGTGATATAACTTACTACAGTTTCTTGGTTTGGATATGATAAACTGTGGTTACTTACTTTGAATTTATTCCTCACAGCTGCTCTGGAGAAGCAGATTGAGGACTGCACAAGGGCAGGGTTCAAATATATACCACCAAGCTATGAATTAGTGGTACATGTAAACCTGGCCATAGTGCAATACTGGAAAAATAATATTGAACTCTGCCATTGAACTTTGGGTCCATGTATAGGGATGCTGGTTGGTAATGTTGTGAGTTGTAATTCACCACAGCCAAAGCGCACCAAGTCCAGGAAGAGTGATCTAAGCCTTGTTCACTTCCCCTTGCAGGAAAAATACTATCTGTGCTCTGTTTTGCCATCACCCTGTGCCTGATTTATGTAACTTGACTCTTTACTTTTGCAGTAATTTTTCCAGTAGTTTAAAAGCAAAGTGAATAACACTTTGGTGTAGCAGTTTCCCTTTCCTTAATTGAACCTGACTTGGGTGAAGCAGACCTTTCAGGAAGCAGACAAGAATGGCGACGGCTTGCTGAATATTGAAGAGATCCACCAGTTGATGCACAAATTGAATGTCAACCTGCCCCGGAGGAAAGTAAGACAAATGTTTCAGGTGGGCATCCACTCCTTCTCTATTTGTAAGCTGAGTGTTAGTCTTTCAAACGAGAAACCTGGGATTATCAGTGCAGATTAATGGACAGACAGTTCAAGGCAATTAATTGTTTGTAGACAGCAGGGATAGGGTGGTCATGCCATGCCATGTAAGCATCTGGCTTTGACTGGATTGCTGGCATCTTGCAGTAGTCTTTAAGGAATTGTAACATTTAATTAATTGCAGACTGGACACCGAGTTCTTAATTTGCTTTGTAACAAGGCCAGCAATTAATCTCTGTTAGGCCCAATTCCTTCGAGGCTTGTTTGTGTTTAGCAGCACTATTATGCCAAGAGTATGACACCAGTAGGACTGCTGATGTCATTTCGCATCCGGAAGAAGACGAGTCCATGGTATTAGGGCCATCACAACCTAAAATGCTATGCAGCAGGATTGGTCATGTTATTCTAAAAACCCCACTACACTTCTCTTCTCTTCTCCCAGAAGTGAGAGTAAGTGTGAGAAATATTTTTTAAAAAAGCAAAATCAAGTGCATTTACAAATGGCTTTGTGAGTCAAGTAGGTATGATCCCTTTACGCCAAATGGCAGCCTTTCCCAAACTGGTGTACCACAAAGTGTCATCCTGTCCAGTCCAGCACATCTGGAGAACACAAAGCTGGGAAAGGCTTTGCAGAGGGCAGACAGGTGGCTCTGAACTCCTCCCTGCCAGGAGGAGTTGGAGGCTGGTGGCCTGTGCTTTGGAGTTGCAGCATACAGGACGGCAGGTGCTCCGTTCACGTGCAAACCCTCATCTCCTCCTGGCGGTGCTTCCTGCTAAGAGGGCCAGAAGTTGCTGTTCAGAGTTGTCCTTCATACTTGAATTGGAGGATTTGTTCACGAAATCACATGCATTCCATTTCTTTTCTCTGACGCTTGCTTGGCTCTTTTAAATATCTATTTTGCTTGCACACAGTAGCAAGATGTGTCCAGCTTAGATAGTAGTGATGCTAATAAGCATGCCTCATAGAGTCTGACTCCATCATTATTGTTAAAAGCAGTATTTGGAATACAGCATGCTCTCATTAACAAGCATTAATAGCACTCTTTGTAGCTAGAAGCATCTATTATTTTGCACCGGCAAATTGGAGCTGCTTTCTGTAGTTAATCCTGCCAGCTTTGGGATCATGGATAATAGATCCAGTGGAAAAGAAGCTGAGGGGAAATAACAATGCTGAGTCATTATTGTGTTTGCCATCAATGGCGTGATCCCATGGCACAAAATGTCCATTCCCATTTAGGTTACAGTAATGGGAAGTATCACGTACAAGTTAGGTTGTGAGCCGCCCCGAGGCTTTGTTGCGATGGGGGTGGCATAGAAATGTTTTAAATAAATAAATAAAAGGATGTAACAGCACTGCTCTTCATAGCAAGGAGGAAATAGCATCAGCCTTTGCTTGCTAGAGGAACTAGCAACCCAAATTCAGTGCAAAACCAGGGCAGCCAAATTCTGCAAAGCTGAATCCACATTCTCTTGGAAATGAGTCCTATTGAATTCATTGAGGCCTACTTTTGAGAAAATTTCTTGGAGACAAAGCCTCTCACTGGGGGGAACCAAGGGAGGCTTCACGGTCCATATGCTGCATCTCCATAAGATGGATTGGGCTCAGGGGCTGCGCAGGGATTGCTGGTACATGGACTGGCTGTTCCACATAATTTACAGGATATCATCTAGGTATGGGAGTGATTTTGGATTGGATGATGCTTTGAGGTAATATCTGAAATTCATAAACCATGGCCTGCCAAGGGGATGGAAAGCAAATAACAGTAATCCATGGGTTGCTAATGTCCTTGAAAGCATAAGCTATGGCTGTCAGTTCTAAATGAAGATTAGCACAAACCATGGTTTGATGTAGAGCCATTTGGCTATGGATAAGTATCTTTTACCGCAATGACTTTCTGTAGTGCTTTCTTATTCATGTCCTGCTTAACATATGTATTTGGTTTACTTGTCCCTCAGGAGGCTGACACAGACGAGAACCAGGGGACTTTAACTTTTGAAGAGTTTTCTGTATTTTACAAGATGATGTCATTGAGGCGTGACCTCTACTTGCTTCTTTTGAGCTACAGTGACAAGAAAGATCACCTTACCATTGATGAGTTTGCTCAGTTTCTGAAGGTAGAACAAAAGGTAGGAATAAAGAACAGGAAGAGGCACCATTTGACTGTAATGCACAGTTGAATTTCCTATTGCTCTTGTCCTGTCCAGCCAGCAAAAGCTGCCAGAGGCCAATGCAAAGAAGGAATATTAAGCATATGAGAAAAGAAATCCTACTTCATTTACCTTGAAAATGTTGACCAAATATTTCATCTAATGTTTAGACCCTTAAAAAATGTTTATATCTATAGCTGAAAACAAGAGACTCCAGCAGTCCCTATAGATCTAAGCTGCCTGTTCTCCTTATCTATATTTCCTGTCTTTCTAAATGCTCATAATTTGAAACATTTTCTATACGCAAATGCTTATCTATTTTTATCAATAGACATAAGATCAACTTATTTCATATTATGTTTTGCCATATTTGAACGCACTTCATTACTATTTCAGACATTCAGTTCTGAGTACAGTAGCACGGCTGCATGGAGTTTGGTAGCCCCATACAATAACTAATTGCCCATACCAAGAGAACACAGCACCTCTGGGAGCTTTATAACCAGCAGTGGCATAGAAATGATTCCTTGTGATCACATACTTACCAAGATGAGGGAGCTGTGATACTGGTGGCCAAGGAAAAACTGCCTGAACTGCTTCCTCAAGCCACCTTTAACCAGTGGGCCTCTGGGGGATAGGATGTAGGCAAAGACTCAGTTCACATGTCACATTAACTCTTTTTTCCCCTTCAAAACTCTTTTTTTTCCCTTCAAACCAGGTCATTAAACATCTCAGGACAGGGTTTCTCAGATTCAATAATTATACTACGTGAACCAGGTAGTTTGGGTTGTTGTGGAAGAGAAAAAATGGAGTTGTAACCCATATGGACCTAGATGCATAATTGATGCCAATTTTGATGATTGATTTGATTTGTACCTTGCACTTCTACCAAGAAACTGGTACTTAGAATGACAGTTACAATCATAGGAACTTTTTTAAACAATAAGGACTTGATTAAAACAATAATGCATTAAAACATAATTAAAAGCGAAGAATATCTGCATAAAAACAGCATCAAACCCAGCAGAACAACTTACATGACAAAGACCTGCTTGAATAAAAATGTCTTTTCCTGCTGGTGAAAGGGCAACAGAGAGTGGGAAGGGAGAATTTACTGTACCAGAAAAATAATGTTTGCATTATATTCACCACCTTATGAGAACTCTTTCTGATATGTGGAGGAAGAGAAACATGAGAAAGCTATGGCTTTAGAGGGGTCCAGTCAGATGAACTGTGAGCTTCAGAGTCATGCCTCAGGGCCATGTACCCTGTTGACACCTGCTATAAATAATTGGTATTTTATTTCACTGGTGCTTCAGTTTCGGCTGGTTGTCAGTTTTGGCTTGTTGTTCATTAGCAATACATTTGTCAGCTGCCATATGCTCAGCCTCTCTGTCCCCATCACCATTCTCTAGGTACTTTTGGAGTCTAGTTTTGCAAGACAGCTATATTGTGTCCATTACCTCACCCTGGCTCAGTGGCTTTGAGAAACACCTGCCATCCATTCAAAGGACTGCATGCATGCTCAGCATTACAGCCTCCCATCCGGAGACAAGAATAGGTTCCCGTGTAATGGGTAGCTCACTGAGCCTTGAAGTGCTGCCAATGAGTCACAAAGATGTATGAGAAACAGAGAGGAGCAGCAGCAAATGGACACTCTGCACTAATGGGAAATCAGCAGAGCTTGGTGTCTGATGCTCACGAACCGCCAGAAACCAGTTCAGGGATGGCTGTAATGCCCGGTTAGGTGGACTAGGTGAGGCACTTCTTGTCTTGTTTCTGCCTGAGTGCTGGGGTCCACCAACTACTGTCAACTGCTGGGGTCCACCAACTACTATAGTTTGGTGGCCTTGGGACACTGTGTCCCTTGTTTCACAGTGTAGTGCGATTACACGTGCTTACACGTCCCCTGCCAACCCACAGTGCAGGGATCATGTGGAGGGTACCATGTTGCTATAGATCCATCTAACCCAGTCCAGCCTACGTCTATGTGAAAAGCACACACAGCTAGCGACAAGTGCACGCAGAACAGATTGCTGCAGTCACCGAGTCCAGCTGCCAGCTTCATGAGAGGCAGCTGCATACAGAAGAGCAGAGCAAACAGCACAGGAAAGATTAAGCGTTGGGACTATGAATTAAGCCTGGCCCCTCCTGTCGAGGAGCAGATTGCTTTAAAGGAACCGCACCGTCCTGGGATCTGTGACTCACATGGTGATCTGCAGTTTCTGGGCAGGCCTTCTGGTGTCTTGAGAAAGGGGGACTAAGTTGACCGAGTTCTTCTGCACTACTTAAAGTTTAGAACCTCTTGGTACAGTACAGAAGAGTTGCAAGTGCAGTTGGTCTTGTGTCCAGGAAAACAAAGACCACATGAAATCAATCATAAAAATCAGTGCCTTTCAGGAAACATTATAGAAAATATGAAAGCCATGATGGAAATATGGGGAATAGAAGTGCCATGGACATTTTCCCAAGCCTGGCTTGGAAATGAACTGCCAGGGTTCTTAAAGAGACCTTGCAAAAGAAAGATGGGCCTTTAAGACCCTGTGAACTGAACCCTGTGATTCAAGTCAGTATAGGGTCTGGAGAAAGTTTTCTGGTTGACAGGGAGATGGGAGGAAGTGGGAAATCCTTCCTCCTCTCTGCTTGTTGTTGCCACAGCTGTTTTTGCTTGGAAGTAAATAAAAGATAGCAGCAGGGGGGAGATGCCTCCCTATTTCCCTGGCAGACTTTTAATACATTAGAAGTTGTAGTTGAACAATGCAGCTAGATGCTGTCATTTCAAGGAATGCAGTGAAATAATGAGAAATGCAAATCCTTGTTGCAAATCCAAGAATTTTCTAAGAGTAATGTTTCAGACAGACCCTTAAATTTACGTAATCCATTTGCCCAGTGAAGAAGTCTTATCTTTTTTTGAAGTAAGTTTTATTGTTATTTTTCTACTAACTAACAAAAAGAAACTACAAATCATCAGTCATCAAAAGCATCAGACCTACTGGGTCAGCTTCCCGTACTTTTTTTTTTATAGTAATCCATAAACATATTTAAGTCGATGCATAGTCACATTTCTCTAGCCAATAATAAAAGGAATTACAAGTTTGATAGAAGTCTGTATCCTCTTTCTCCTTCAGAGACAAAGTCAATCTGTCCATTTCAGCACAGTCCAACATCTTTTTTAGAATCACTTCGTTGGTAGGTGGTTCTTCACTCCTCCTGAAGAAATCTTATTTCTGATATCTTGTGTAATGCCAAAAGTTCTCTTAAACTTTACTCAAGAGAGACTTTTGTAATTGTCTTAAGAGACAAATTAGGACTGAGCTTACTGTGCAGTGCATTCTACGGAATTTCTCAGTGGCTAGAAATGCTGTTTTAGGTTATGGTTGTAGGATGATATCCAATGATACATGGAATAGATCCACTGAAATGAATGGAACTTACGTTAATCATGACTAACATAAGTCCTATCCATTTAAATTGAACTGTTCTACATAGCACTAACACTGGATGCTACTAAAGGCATTTATGAAACTCAAACAGTGTTGCCCTGATACGGAACAGAAGGAGCACAGTTATTTTCATTTCCCAAGCAGCTGTACCTCCAACCACCTAAGAGTGTATTCTTCATATCACAAGTTAGCAGAATCTGCCTCATCTTTTATCTCAACCTTCTCACTGAAATGAAATGGCTATTTTTAGTACATAAGCCAATCTACATCATCTCACTTGAGGTTATTTGAATGAGAAGTTCAGGAATACTGAACTCAAACTTGACGGACTTATGTTTTCAAGAAATATCAGGAAGCTAGTTGATATCCAGAGTTGGATTTCAGACTTGGTCATACTCAAGTTTCCAGATGTACCCAAAAACCTGTGGGTTCCAAAAACCATGGTCCATAGAAACTTATGACATAGTATGTTAGTTTCCAAAGTGCCACAAATGTTATTATTGTGTTAGACTTATCAAATAACTTGTTTGGTTTCAAACAAAATTCCAAAGTCAAACTCCCTTACTTCCATCAGGTGTTGTATTCAACAAAATATCACTGGCAATTCTGGTAGGTATCTACTGGTAGATATCCACCAGGCCCAACACAGATGGTGGGTTGCTTCTGCTGGAGCATACCTGTAGAGGACAACACTGGAAGTGCCCCTCTGAACTGTGGAATGATGGCAAGGGCAGCCATGTATGGAAGAATATTCTTCAACTCTTTGTCTAGGACACTTGGGAGTTAAAAAGTCCCATGTGAGAGCTTGTGGCAAGGGAACTGTGGCCTCTGTGATGTAAGGTCCCCCAGGCTGTGTTGTTTAAACTTGAAACTCTCTGTATGGGTGGAGTGACCTTATCTTGTGCTGTTGGCTTTGAACGTTGTTTGCTGGTGTCTCTCTACAGTGACCACCCTTGTGTTTAATTTTTCAGAGAAAGCAATTTCATAGGTCATAGGATTTTTTTTTAGATTCCCAGCTTTCCACCGTCTCACAGCCAAAGCTGAGATCAGAGAACAGGACTGGTTGTTCTCTGAGGTCCGGAAAGTGGGGAGAGGAGGAGAATGGGCAGCCCAGGATATGAGGTATCCTGAATCTGTGCCAGTCTCCTTGCCTCCTGGTCTGAGATACTCCAGCGAGATGGACAAAAGAGCCTGCCTAGCAAAACATGTAGAGAGGGAGGACATGGAGGAGAAATGGCCTCTGCTGCTCCTTCAGCTCTTCATCGAATGGCCCACAAGCCCCTGAGTTTGGAGACAGCTGGGATTGTGCCCTAAAGCTTTTCACATGTATTACCCATTGTTTTTCCATGTATGTGCCTGGGAAGTGTATGCATGTGATCATATAGGGAATGCTGAGGGAACCTCTATAACAATAACTTCAGGTAGGAAAAAGTGTGGCACTGAGAGTTAGGCAAGCTAGGCAATGGGGAGACGAAGCAGGGATCTTGTCTTTCCCTTTTCTGGTCTCTCCTGCAGTGAGCAGATTCTGTGGTTGCC